TGCCAAGATCTTGTAAAAAGTAGCGTACATTAACGAAATCTATGTTCTTAAAAAATTTTAAGATATTCACTGCTCATTTTCGTAGAGTCCTCTGATTCTTCCGTGAAATTTCAACAATTTGGGCATTTGCACATTGCTATAATATAGTGCAACACACTAAACATACATGTCAGAATCACGTTGCCATGATGTGCTGCAAAATCTTGAGTTTTTGATGGGTGACAGCTGTGAGCAGAGATATGTCAGTGCGGCAAAAATGCTGTCATGACTGGTTTGACAATATGATAGAGTACGACAGAAAAATTGTTGTTCTTGAGTAGATGACATTGCTCAAGTTATGGTGGAATAAAATGAATGCATGGAGTTTAACAAGCAAGTCACAAGATATGCCTACCTCCACGTAGATAAGTCTGTGCCACCCAGAAGATGTCCAGATTTCTACTCACTCATTACTGACAAGATTACTCCTAAACTAAGTTTAACCTTTCATCGTTTAATTGCGAAATCCGATTATAACATCACAACACGCTCATACAGAGCCAAAGAGCCATTTATTCTCTTGTCGTTACAATTCGACATGACTATGTGCACAATCGTCGACTGACCACAATAATAAATTACAGTTACATGAAACTAAGCATGCAGTAAAATACAATCAAATAACTAGGGAATTTATAAATCACAGAAAACATTGGCTCCTTTGAGTAACTAAGAAAAGACAAATATTGTTATTAGATTGAAGGCTACTAAATTAGCATTCTTTTATAAAGCTTTAAGTACAAATATCGAAGAGATAAGCACAAATCTCCTGAACGTGATTGAATTTATTTGAGATCACGGAAAGGAAGGGGAATGTTGAAATACCTAAAATGCATATGTAATAATTTACCTGTGAAATAATTTAGGTAGCTATTAAGCAGAAACTATGAAAGTACATCTAGTATATTAGCGATTGAAAATTTGTGGCAAAGCAAAAAGCATCTAACATAACTTAACATAGAAATCTTGTTAATGTTATAAAATGCTAAAAATTATATTTTACACAAGTATTCTCTGAATAAGACAGGGTGATTTAAAATATAGAATAACGAATGAAGCTATCAACACAGCTTACCCCGGATCCAGTGGCTGCACATGAGTAGCATCAAAATCGGTGAGGTAGTGATCACATGCTGCATACAATCGCGCACGCCGAATCGCTATTTCTGACTCGTTTGAAACATGCCCGGCCATTGCTCGCTGTTGAGGTGTCATCGCTAACCAGCGATCAACCTGAAAAGTCAAATTTCGGAGCTCCTATGTATCCAAGTGATGCAAAAAAAATTATGTAAAAAGCTAGCGTAATAAAAGCGTAATTTAGAATGAGCTAACATACCTGAGACTCTAAATCGGCTATAAGAGTTGGATGCCGCTGCTCAATGATCTTTTTCAAGAGAAAATTTGCTCTAAAATATATATTTTAAGATTTCTCAATTCAAACTTCTAGAAACTTCTACAAAAAACCGATTGCTAGCGCGACGATCCGCTTCTGTACCAGTCTCATCAGTTGTCAAAATTTCTTCTTGTAATCGACGAATCAATTTTAAAGGACCTTTATAGTTAGCGAGCTAAAAATTCACTTATTAAAGTTAAGTAGACCTAAAGAACAAACAAAAACTTACAATAGCCTGGATGTTCAAATCGAAGTTCGTCCTTATGGCATATTCTACGATATCGGATAGAATCTAATTTAAAACATGAATAATTAACATATGGTAAATGCAGTAAAGTACCTTCGGCATTCGAGCTTGGGCCAGAGGAAGAACATCATCAAAGGTCGCGTCGAGAATGATACCCTTCACTTCTTAAAACTTTCGTCGACTTATGATAAACAGTATAAATCAGATACGAATTTTTCAGAAGCAAATAGACGAGTTTAAAACTGAAGACTTACTTGGATAATTAGCAGCCAACCAACTCGCTGGATATCCGCCAATTGACCACCCAAACAGCACAATTTCTTCCTCTCGAAAACCCAGAACGGTTTGAGCATACTACAGAAAATTTGTTTTTGGAGAAAAGTCCTAGCTTTCCAATCCCAACATTGGAGATCTGATTACCTGCATTACAGCATCTGCAGCAGCTAATGTATTGTTGGGAAATGGAAGACCAGAACTTTGGCCAAAACCGGGCTGATTCCATCCAAGTACCTTTAATATCATCTAGTGTTTATGACTGGAAACTAGTGAACTTTAGAGCCATTAATAAAGGGAAGAAAGAGGTTGAACAAGGTGAAAAT